AAMGRWAKRTKKTGKGKGTACACGACCTTCAAAAATGGCGGTAGTTCACGWCCGCCAATAYCGGGGGACTAGTGACGAATCATGGAAACGAGACCTCCCAAGGCCTTACATCTAGAAAACACCACGTAGATCGCATGTGTGGCAGTGTCAAAGTTTGAGAGATGTATGRTATGTTATTCATGACAAAAAMAGTCTTGCAAAACACAAKGGAAGTTTWCTATACAGAGATTGGCCWTTGAGACCTCGTTTAAGTGCTTCGTGTACGTGCCCTGGTCGGCGACAGTGACATATTTCGGAAAAAAATTAATTTCCGACCTCGCTGGGATTCGAACCCACGACCTTCGGATTTGTACTACCGATGTTCTACCAGCTGAGCTACAAGGCCAGACTGGGAGCAGCTCGGGGTGAAATAGACATTAGGTTGCGGTGACTTTCTTTCATTTCTACATCGTGTCTATCATAGTGCCATGCGGTCCTCATATTCATATCTTTAAATTATTCTATTACCGCAACCTAACATCTATTTCACCYCTTAGGGTCTTTCTCCCGGAATTGCCTCCTTCTAAGCACTATACAGGGGCGGATCTAGGGGGGTGAATAGGGTGGCTAGCCACCCCCCATTTTTCTAAGCTCTTCTTCCTTTTTTTTCCTTATCCCTCAAATATTGAAATATTAATTGATTTCTCCAAAGACTGATTGATTCTACCTACTATTTGCCGAGCATTTATGGAACTCCATCCAAGGGGAGGATGATGGAACAATCACTTTTGGGGCAGTAGATAGCCTAGATGACATTAGTGGGTGTAATGTATATTCGTGTGTACACGGTAAACTCTCATTGTTCTTGATAAATACTAGTTTTAAACGTGAGAGATTCTTTGCTTCAAGTGAGCATTGCGTACTAAATTCCGCTTAAATTTGTTCAATAAAGGGTTACTAAAAAGGCCCACAAAACGCTGCAAATCGCATGTCCGAGAGTCTGGATTTCAAAATTTCTCGGGGGGGATGCTCCCCAACCCCCTACGGGCTCCCGGCTTCGGCATTTGGCTTCCATTTTATTACATTATTTTAGCAATTCACCCCACACTTCAAAGTCCTGGATCCGCGCCTGCTATAACTTTCTTTCATTTCTATATCATTACTACGTTCGCTATGACGATATGACCGACGACTAATTACGTCTGCAAAGGAGTCTAAGATTATCKATGATGGTTCGTCTAGTTTATCAGTGTCTTTTAATAAATGAGTATATCTTTACATAAGACTGCCTACAGTGACCAGTGCCTTTCTGTTGTTTATTTGCCATTCTCTACCATAGCTTTTGCATTATGGTAATGCCACAGTCATTCTTTGATATATAACACGTCTTACATTAGCGATCCCGCGCTCATATGCCCGGCCCATGCAGTGCATGCATGGTAATGCAAAATATTCTATGYCTAAGGTTTAGTAACCACCGACCACCGACTCTGTTCCTGGGAATAGAGGATATTACATGGGCGCGCGGAGATACTGATTTTATCTTCGAGTGTTGAAAAGATYCATGTCTCGCGAGTGAGCGTAGTTTATYAAAGTTCCATATGAAAGTAAATTATGTTGTAAAATAGCTTTTTTCTCACGATATAGTGAACCCTCACCCTCGAATGTAACAACTTTACGCAATGGAGAAATATTGGTATTTTATAGATAATTATATGATAAATACAATGTATACATTACAAATTTTGGATTCATATAGAACATTATATAAAACATTATAAGATTATAAAGYATAAACAAATGAATTACAAAACAATGAAAATTAAATAGAAAAACACGATCTTTTGCTGTTGTTGTCCACGTTAACACGAATCTATATGTAGGTTTTCATATGTATTCCGTATATGACCGAGTCACGACAAACGGAGGCCGGCAGGAGTGGCGGATCCTGGATTTTTCAAAGGGGGGCTCCACTTTGTTTTCGCATTTTCCTAAAACAAATTTTTTTACTGTGCCTCTCGAACTGTAGCAAATGTAAAGACACCCACATTTCATTTATCATTTACTTTTTTTATGCTCGAGGTGGTACCTAGGAACCCATGTAACCCCCCCCGGATCCGCCACTGGGCAGCCAGACACAGGCATGAGATCCAGTCGTTGAACGTCCACACGAGACACGCAAATGAAAACGCAGGTGCAATAAAATGAACAAAAAATAATTATTTCTTGAGTTTTCTTGCGTTTGCATTTGTGTTTACTGCGTTGGTCTTGTGAACAATATGTTTAAATGACCATCACTGCATACCATCACTGAATACAAGATGTTCAACGCATGCACGAAATTGCCTTGCAGTTTGCACACGCAGGCCCGTAGGCTGCCTTACAAATGGTGTGTGTGTGTGGGGGCGGAGGGGGTAAGAGGGGGAGGGCTGTTGTAAATTAAAAAAAATGGATACTCAATAAATAAAATCTTTTAAAATTGAAAATTGTGTTTTTAATTGTCTTCATAATAATCATCTAAGTTACAATATTCTTCTATTCTTTTATCGTATATTTCTTTATAAGAGGTAACCCCATTTTCTTGTTACAATTAACAATTAGACCTCGAAGTCGAGGGGACTACGATCTAATAGCCCATGAGGCCGAGTCCGCGAGGCCGAATGGGCTATTAGCTYGTAGTCCACGAGGCCGAGAGGTCTAATTGTTTTAGTATAAACATACTAATCGGTCAAATAATGAAAAAAATTGAAATATCCTTTGAATAATTTATTATTTATTTATTTTGATTTTCCCGCGAGTGGTCTATCACAAATTAGACCATTAGTAGAGTAGCCAATCACATCGCAGTATGAGTGATAGACCATTAGTATGTTTATACTAATAGTCTATAGAATTGCAAAAATTTCAGTCTTCATAATGTAAATAGTTGTATTTTTCTTCATCCTCATTATAAAGATACCCCACTACATTTTTATATATGGCAGCTTGTTTGCGTAACCTGAAAGACAAAAAATATATATATATATATCATTAACTATAATACAAGTGAGATGATTTTTTTTCTTCAAAATTGTTTAGTGTTTATATAAATATCATTGAAGGGGCAATTTAGACTAGCCAGAAGTCAGACGCTATTTTATGAGCCCAATAACCAGGTACAAAGCAAGAACTAGAAATCAGGTAAACTAAAAGTAATATCATAAATATGAGCGAAAGACCTTTATGGGCATATGAAACTTCAAGCTGCAAGCGAGGAGTTTTRGAGCCCATAAAGGTTGGACGCGAATATTTCATATTGCTTATCAAATTCCAACATCTTGCTAAAGCATATTTTGCATAAAACTTCAAGATAAAATATCATTGTGAGAGAAAATCGAAGTTAAAGTCATATGCAAATCAGGACAAATCTCCCGATCATATAAAGATGCAGTCATTGCAATGATTTTCCATTGTGTTTACCTTATGAATTATTAATGAATTTGCCAGAGGTCTGTATGGAGGTATGTATCCATTCACTGTTTGGGAATTACACAGGATGCCCAAGAAATTACCTATAAAGCTTTATGTGGATTTACAACTCTCTTCATAGGTTATGATTTCTATTGTGTTTTGCCTTATGAATATTAATGATTTTTTAAAGTCAATTGTCAAATGTATATATGGTGAAGGTGACTGCTTCATCAAAGGTGCTAGAGACAAGATGGTGAAACAATACATGTTGTTTTGGTGACCTTTGCATATCTTGAAAAATATGAGCCAGGTCTCTGCTAAACCAAAGACTGCAGATTAAGAATTAACATACTTTAATTTCCAGCTATACCACATCCATCCTGACCTCTATTTTCCATTTTACACTATACTAGCTACCCTGACTTCACACTGTCACTGTTACGTCTAGTTGATATAGTTGATTGACAAAAGGTTGTAGTCAACTGGATTTCATGAAATGCGACTAGCCCGAACTGGTTTCTGGGTAAAAATCAACGAACTGGGAAATTAGAGATTTGAACGCCAATTGGAAGAGTTGACACATAATGTGTGACAAACATTAACAAATCACATGGATTTAATTATGCATGCATGTGATGTTGATTTTTGCATCTCATATTGCGTGTCGCAAAGTCCGGTCGACAACAACCTTTTGTCAATCGACTATATAAAATGTTATGCAGCAGCATCATGAGGATAAGAAGCCATAAACTTCGCCCCATGTAAGAGAATCCAGAGAACTAGAGGATTCCAGATTCCAAGCCTTGAGATTCAGGATTAGAAAGAATTTTTGTTTTTTGATTATTATCATTATTATTAATAATAATAATTATCATTATTATTAATAATAATAATAATAATAATGAAAACTTGTATAGCACATATACAAGTCTGTTCTATGCACTCTGATATAACTAACAAACAAATTAAACTCTAAAAGCTAAACTAAACAAATAAGTTTTGAGTTCTTTGTTAAGGAACAGCAAAGAGTCAATGTTTCTTAAATCAGATGGGAGAGAGTTCCATAAAGTAGGGGCAGCAACAGAGAAAGAGCGAGAGCCATATGTTTTCATGGAGTAAGGTTTAACAGATAGGAGTAGTTCTTTAGAGGACCGAAGCGTTCTTTTAGGTTTGTATACAGAGATCAGTTCAGAAATGTAAGACGGAATTATTATCATTATTATTATTATTTATTTTTTTTGCTGGATTCTGGATTAAAAATATTTGGATTTTGCATTTCAGGATACAGATTCTGGATTCAAAAGCTGGGATCTTTTTACAGGATTCTGGATTCTCTTTCATGGGGCCAATAAATTGGAGTGACCAATTCAAAATAATAGTTGAAAAAATAAACTTGAGAAGTATGGTGTTCCCAAACTGACATCATTGCAGTCTACTTTTTGGTACTAATTCAGTCAATAGTGGCAGTTCTAGAGGCTTGGTTTATAAGTGTTATCTCAAACCTCCCATACAGCATGTAAAGAAATATGTCTGCTCTATTCTATTTGTTTGAAATTCCTTAACTGTTTTTTTTTTCTTAAAGCCTTACCCAATCAGGTTTATCAACCTTAGAACTCTATAAACAAAAAAATCAAAATGGTAATCTATTGAATATTCAAATTTGTAATCAGAACAATGAGTCATCCACCCACTAAAATTTAAGAAATATACTGTAACTAAGAACTGTGTTTATGTACCAGCAACCTTAATAATGCCATTTACAATTATTTATTATTATGCATTATTCTTATTTATTCTACCTGACAATACTTGTAATTCAGTCTTAATACGGCAAGAGGCATAAATAAACATATTATATTGTAATAATACACTAAATCTATTTTTAACAAGACGTGGCAAATAATGCTATCAAAAAATAAATTTTTAAACTACCTTTCAATACTTTCAGCTTTAACTTTAGTGACATTTTTTGCATTTCAAAGTGAAAAAGAAAATTTCATGTAAACATGTATGATTTCATTATCAAAGACACTTAATATCAAAATCAAACAAAGAATTAATAAGCTTTTTGCTGAAATGTGCTTTTTGACACTCAAATGGCTTTTTATTGGCACTCAAACAGCTTCCATGATGGGATAGCATTTACATTTATTTAAAATGCACACGATTATTTTAACTACACAAATAAATGAATGCCAAAATAATCTTATTTCTGAATCATCACTATTGGATATCCATGCAGAATACTTTTAAYTATGCTTCAAATCTATTGAAATTATGTAAATGACAGCATATGAATGGCTTCCTCATAACCCATTCAAATGCCCCCCCAGTAATATAAGTCCTAAATGAATAAAAAAGGTAAAAATTAAAACGTTTTTTGCATTATTTACTCACTTTGTATATATAACAATTCAATACAGAGGAAATGTTGTTCCAGAAGTACAGTCTAGACTTCCCTCAATGTCATTGTCAGCTTTCATTTGCATATKCCAAGATTGAATTTGTGAACAACTGTGAAATTTCAGTCGATATTCCAATAAACATTCATCTAAAGCTTGTAAAATTTCTCAAAAATACATATAMAAAATTTCCAAGATAAGAAAAAATTAGACGGAGTTGCTTTATGYGCAGAAAGAGAACAGAGAAGATMTTTTTAAATGTAAACAATCGGTTTTGGGAAGCAAGTGCCAATGTACTGGGTGTTGTCTTCTAAAGAAATCGAAATGGTTTTATAAACAGTTTTCTTACAAATAATTAACTAYATTCTGTAAGGAGAGAACAGTTTTGAGTTTGTGAGCCAATTTTAGACGCTCGAGGGCTAAAAATAGGCAAAAAATGGAAATTTACCGAGTGTTGTTGAGAACACGACGAGCTCGAAGGCTCAAACGGCGATGGCCACGTTGAGTTGAAACAAATCAMGAAAAWAAGCCAATATGTGGCAGAATACTACACAAAAWCAAATAAACRACATTGATTTAATGCTTTCTTCAACTCTAGATCGCGTTATGCGTCTAGTAGTGGTTTGCAAGGCTATAATTTTAAGGAAAATTTTGCGAAGAAAAAATCTTGACCTTTGAAAGCGGATATTCGGAGAGCTTGAAAGCGCAGACACAAATGAGCGAATTTCATCAATGATTTTGCAGTGAATATACAGTTAATAGAAGGAATGCGCAGAAAATATAATTTTGAAGAATTAAGAAAGGTTTTAGCCTRTTTAGTTGTGAAATCAGCAAGCAAAACATAATTTTATCTTTCGATCAACGTGCTATCAACAATTACAACATGGCGGTTGGCTTTTTGTTCGAAAAGACTTTGACAAAAAGTGAAAAAATGCTTGGTTTTCTTCATCTACAACTGTCAAAAGAATTGAATCCAAACAAATGTCAAAATTGGAAGGAACTGAGAGTTTTTYTGATATGTTTTAGTACACATTGGAGGTAAAAATGGAAGACAACTTTTATATTTTTGGCGCTCGATCCGACAAGAAAGCACGAACGCCGTGKTCGAAACCCCTCGACAGATGGAGTAAACTGTCTTGCGTTTCACCGTAAATATAACCTTAAAATGGTTCAAAATACTTCAAAAGTAAACAAAAAGCTCATGCTATAATATCTGGCTATTTAGATGAGCAAAAACCAATCTATAGAGTGTATAAATAAGGTTTATATTTTTTCAAGTTTCTTATGAAAGCTCTTGACATCCTGCCATTTGCGGCCTTGAATATCGTTTTCAAACGATCGACAGCCGGTCAACTGTRTGCTGGATTTTACCGCTAAAATCATCTTAAAATAACTAATTTTCAACCCAAAACTAAAAATACATTGAAGGATTGATATGCTATAGCTCGGGAGTRCGTTTATTCGAAAAATAAGCGAAAATCAGAGGATATAGGCCAACTGTTTATGAGGGAAGCAATTACGGGACCTTGAGCTCCGCCATGCTGATGTGTTTGTTGCCCAAATGTAAAATATTTTTTCACCCAAAAGGAAACATTTCTTCTCCACAAATGTTTCTTTAGATGAAATTTAGATGACATCACTTTATAATTATGTTCAATACAACGCGCTAAACGAGTTTCACGAGCTACAGCGATGCGTTCTACGAGAATTGTCAATGAAAACTATTTTAGACTTTCGTAGAATTACACTTAAAACTCCGTCAGATTAAGAGAAGACTTAACTTTTTTACCTTGTACATGAAGTTGTAGCTTTTTTCTTTCTGTCTACCAATTTTAGTGCCTTTCCGCACAAGATTAGTAGCCCTACGAAGGCCGATATTCGGAGCAAGAAGCACAGACTTGACAAATGGCTGCTCCAGATACAATTCTTTGGTGCTGTTTCCTCGGTGGTCCGCACGTCTCGTATAAATAACCTGCGCGTCGTTCACTGCGTCACTTCTCCCCAAGCACCACCGAGAGACGAAGTTTCGATCAATCGTTCGGTCGATCGATTACACATTCCAAATCGATAATCAATTTATAGTCTGATTATATATTCAAGATGTCTGACGCTCCAGCACCTAAATCAAAGAAGGCAAGCAAGCCAAAAAAGCCTGCAGATCATCCGAAATACATTGATATGATAAAGGCCGCCATCACATCGCTAGGAGAGAGAAGTGGATCATCACGTCAAGCCATCGTAAAATACATTAGAGCTAACTACAAAGTAGGCGAAAGTGCTGACGTTCACGTAAAATTGGCTTTAAAAAGAGGAGTTGGTTCGGGAGCACTGGCGCAAGTCAAGGGAGTCGGAGCATCCGGATCGTTTAAAGTCGTCAAAGCCAAAGAAGCGCCAAARGCTAAAAAACCAGCAAAACCAAAACCCGCTGCCAAGAAAACAACAGCGAAGAAACCTGCTGCAAAGAAATCGGCAAAGAAGTCTCCGAAGAAGAGTGCTGAAAAGAAAAAGAAACCAGCCGCCAAGAAATCGGCCGGGAAAAAGGACAAAAAAGTAACTAAAAAACCCGCGAAGAAGCCGGCCAAGAAAGCTGCAAAGTCGCCCGCCAAAAAGAAGTCGCCAGCGAAGAAAAGCGCAAAGAAGACGGCAAGCAAGAAAAAGACATCAAAAAAGTAAATTTTTACTATACAAACAATTTTTAAGGGACAATATCAATGTATATGAACTGGCTCATAGAGACGTCAATTTTGTTTTCTACGTTGTAATATAGATAACATGGTAGGTGTGAACGAAGGAAATCGTAGCTTCGACGCAGTTTCGTGTATTACGCATCACAAGTTTTTTTATAAGACCTATAAACTATAAAGCGGTAATTGAATCTTATTTATATTAGCACTCGTTATGAGTGGACAGTTTATTTGTATATATATATTATATGTACCTGATCTGAATGATAAACCAAAAAAGAATAAATAAATTTTATATCATATTGTAAGTGTATCGTCTATTAATTTAGTGTTTTTATATACATTTTATTTTCTAATGTTGTTTTTACATTTTGGCTTTTTTGTTGTTGTTTTTTTTTTATTGTCTCTACACGACTATTACGATCGATTACACTTTGTTTCGTGGGTTATGAAAACCACACGAACTTGAAAAAAACTGGCTAAATTAATTATGGTTAATTTCGATTTTGACTATTATAATTTCAATTTGTCCCATGCAGTAAATCTCGGCGATGTGGAGGGTTTTATCATTTCTTGATTGATTACAGTACTGCACAGAAGTACAAAGCTCTTAAACGCGACGCTTTGCATAATTATGGTTGTCACAACAAAAACAACGCTAANATATTTTAAAGCGCGCTTTCATTGGCTTGTTTTCGTTAAACGTATAATAGGTTTTCACAGSGCGGCGATTGCGCAACCGAGAATCARTTTTTAAACAGAGTAACTTAAAGGGACACTGTCAATGGATGACATGCGCGAGTAAACTTTATGACTCCAAGTTGGCGCGACATAAATCAGATCGTAAACGTAAACAGATCTAGAATATTCCAAAGTGTGTCAAAAGCACCACAAAATGATTTACCTCGAAGGTTATACTTTCAAAGTCCGTTAGAGGTGAGACTGTTACTGCGCATGTCATCCATTGACAGTGTGTCCCTTTAATGAAATTACGTAAACTCCGATGTCAGACACGGACTGCAGCAATGTCACTACTATGTTCTCAATACCTGCTATGTTTAACACTTTTGGGATTTTTTTGTGTATTATGAATTTATGATTAATCATTTTTTCRKGGRAATAGTCGCATTTCGGCTTATTTGAAATAGAAAAATCCATGTCCGTACGAATGAGTCACGCAGTCTAGTTCATACGAAAAAAGAAAAAGCAATGAAAAACGTAATTCAAAAATTTCTAAAAGTAATCTAGTTAACCGTGATTCGAAAAAATTAGTCGTGAGCCGTGAAATCGCCAAATTTCAAGCCGTGAGTCGTGATGCGTACCACCCCATTGAGACCCTCTTTTGGTAGCCTGCTGCATCCTAATAGAGTGGTTGTCATAAACCCGTGAAATACACTTTAGTTTAATACACTTTAGTACACTTTTTTTTGTCATCTGACTATTACACTTTAACTAATAGTTTTCGTTTCACGGGTTTATGAAAACCACTCTAGTTACTATTAAACACTTATTTAATTATTGTTTCACAGACGGTTGAACATGACTATTGAGAAATGCAAAATAAAATTTGCWGTAAATCAGTTCAATAGTGAACGAGTTACAGTTTTTCAAAAGAATGTATGGGATCTAGCAAATATCATGAAATATGTCCGCCGAACGGGTTTAACTAGATCCCAAATGATCAAAATGCGGATACATTTGCGGCTTCCTATAGAAGACTGTTCTTTCGCGGAATGGCACAATTAGGAACATTTGGGCATCAGTGTTTTGTGGACATTATTGTAATAATTAAGTTTTGTTTGTACAGAAGTTAAAAATGATTGA